GGGGGGGGATTTCAGAGACCCAGCCTTTGAGATCTAGGGTCACTTGTTAGGCCAGCAAGCAGGGGTCAACACTTCACACCTCTCAAGTGCTATCCTCTGTCATAGTGGCATGCGTCATTCCTACTTATCCACTGCCACCAGGGCTTGCATTACGTAAGACCACTGTTTACCCTATTAAAAATAGAAACGCTTGAACCTGCCCTTTGCTTCCACCCTCAGCCCCACCCATCGGAGTAACGAGCACAGTCAACCAACGCCAACCCTCCCGTGCATAAAACAACAATTCGAGGAACTCTTCTCAGCTGACCTTACCATCGGGGCGGTAGGCATTGGCCAAACTAATTTCTTACTTCTGGCCCCTGGCTACTCGTGAAAGTTTCCGTGCTGGAGCGCCACTCGAGCACTTTCACAGGCACTGGTGAGGTTTTATACCCACGCCACACTGACCATCTGCACCACTAAGGACTCACATCAAGGTTATCTTAATAATATGATAACAGCATTTGTATACAGCATACCCCTGATCAACAGCAAGCTCTATGAGCCTTACACTATTATTACCCCAGCAGACCAAAGAACATTCAGAAACACTCTCAGCTTCCCAGGAAGCATACAGTGCAAGCAGCTGACTAAGCGTTCAAAAACTAATAAACTGAAAAGATCTTTCACTGTCTAAAGCTGGGTACCCATTCCCACCTGGGGGAAAATTCATGTAAAGAGCCTTTCTCAAGGACACAACGTCGACCCCTGACAGGATTCCAACTCACAAACTTATGGTTGCGAGTCTGATACCACAAGGGACTTAGTAAGATTGCCTAAGCTCACATGGATGGGGTAACATCTACCCCCAAAGGGCACCCTGCTCCCCTCCCTCGCCTGGCGGGGTGGGGTAATGGCAAGAGCCAAAGGAACAAACTTTCACAGTTTTGTTTCAAATCAAAACTGAGAGGGCAAAGCATTTTCCATCTTAGGTAATAACCTTCCGGAAGGAAGGAATTTCTCTTCTCGTTTCGATGTTAGGCAGGTTTCCATCTTATAGAGGTAATCATAGAGGCATTTATCAAGGGGGAACAGGCTTCTATCTTACAGATTTCCATTTAGGCAGGTTCTATCGTATATTTATATATAGAGAGAGAGTGAGAGACAGAGTGAGACAGAGTGAGAGAGAGAGAGAGAGAGAGAGAGAGAGAGAGAGAGAGAGAGAGAGAGAGAGAGAGAGAGAGAGAGAGAGAGAGAGAGAGAGAGAGAGAGAGAGAGAGAGAGAGAGAGAGAGAGAGAGAGAGAGAGAGAGAGAGAGAGAGAGAGAGAGAGAGAGAGAGAGAGAGAGAGAGAGAGAGAGAGAGAGAGAGAGAGAGATTAGATATAGATATGCCCCCATTTCTGGGCTTCTGACTTTTTCTGCAGGTGACTGTCAAGGCAGATTCGACTGTTTATATGTGTGTATGTATATATATATATAATAATGGTCATAATATAAACATTTTTAGGAGAGCTCTCGTGGCCTAGAGGTTAAGGTGTTCGCCTCTCATTCAATAGGTCCTCGGTTCTAATACGGATAGCGACGGAAAATTTTCTTCTCTAAAACCTCCCCTTTGAGCCCTGGCCATGGCCCTGGTCCATTGCCCGTGTACTTAGCCACCGGTACACCAGTGAGTGAGACCCCATTGCATCGTAGGACGTTTTGTGGAGACAGTACCAGCTGGGCCGATTGGCATACCTTTACTTTGCGCGTTCATTTGACCTTATCCAGCTGCGAGCGCCGTAAAACCCCATACTATACTATACTATACCTTTACTTTTTCATCCTCTGTAGCTATTAAGCATCGAGGAGATGCAGTTTTCTTCGGCAGGCCAGCTCTGAAACTCTTTCAATTGGGATATTGTGATTTCTCAGGGTTTCCTCGACTCCCTTAATCTGTCCCCGTCGTTTAACGCAAGAAAAATTCTGAAATTATGCAAACTGAGCCCAAAAATGTGAAATTATACGATTCTGTTAATTTTAACAAAGAATGATAAAGGAAAACAATCAGAAATTATGCAAAAAGTTATCAAACTTTGCTTAATTATGCGGGGTTCATAAAACCACGGGGACAGCTTTATCCATCTTTTGCGTGGTCTACCTCTCTTTATAGCCTTGGTGTTATAGACTCTCAAGGCTGGCTGGCTAGGTGATATTCGTAACAGGTGGCCAAACCATTTGCGTTGCGACGTGGTGGAGTCAGGCGCTTGTCAAATTTTGGGCATATTGGGTTATTAGTATCATCTTTAAGCTTGTTCATTTGCCTTGCTTCGGGTGAAAAAAGTATCCATCTATTTTTAATAGAAGTCGAGATATTTGCAATTGAAGGAGGGCAGGATAGCCTGGTTTCAGAGCTGAAATTAGCGAGAAAATGGCCTCCAAAGTTTTGTAATTTCCATAGCTTGAGAGTCTTTGGAAACTGACATTTGACATTTTTTGTGCCTTTAATCAATGTTTTTCAGTAAAATCCACACAGAACTGTGTTTCTAAGGGGATACAAAAGGTATTGAGCCAAAAATATAAAAAAATAAAATTAGAAAAAAATCGCCCAACAGTCAGAAAAAGGCCAGTTTCTTTGCTTTCAATTTTTTGACAAGCGCCTGATTTCACGCCGATGCCTCACATTTTATTCCTTTTTTCTGTGAAACGCAAGCAGGACCCAGAGCCAATAATCTCTCTTACCTATCACAAACAGGTGGAAATCTGGCAGGAAAGTCCAGGTAGGCTACTCTTGTATATATGGCAAGCAAAGTTTCAAATCATTATCAATTAAGTTTTTGAAATATAAGCATTCAAACTTAGTATGACAAATACAGGCGTGAATCCCTCAGGAGGTCAGGTAGAGAGGCAAGGCAGCCTCAGGAGGTCAGGCAGAGAGGCAAGGCAGCCTCAGGAGCTCAGGTAGAGAGGCAAGGCAGCCTTAGGAGCTCAGGTAGAGAGGCAAGGCAGCCTCAGGAGCTTAGGTAGAGAGGCAAGGCGACCTCAAGAGCTCAGGGCTCAAAGGGTTAAGGCTATGCCCACCAACAGACAAGAGAAAGTAGAGACCCTTCATAAACACAAACACGTCAAACTTCAAAACCAGAGACAGCAGTTTATGTAATACGCATCCTCACCGGATTTTCACTGGCAATGCTTGAGATGTTGACAACATTGCCTGGAAAAGAACATATTAAAACTACGTTATTTTTACCACCAATCAAAATGCAAATGTCTGAACAACATAAACACCAATGGTTAAGCTAAGGTACACACTAAAGTGCCGGTAAAAAAATTCTGGCACAATTTATCCTCAAATATCTCTTTAATGGATGGATGAATCAATGTCCCCCATACTTTGCACAGCAATTTGTATAAAAAAATTTTAACTTAATCATATTTTTCAACAACAATTTAAGCTAGATTTAAAAACTCTTCTTCATAAATACATATAAAATTATACAAATCTCCGTAACAAATTTTTTGCCGCACCGTAGCTAATATCTTCATGAAATATTAAGTAAAAAAAGAGATAATTCGGAACACAAACTTTCATCTAGTGCTAAGTAAAGCAACATCAACAGGAGACTGTTGAGGAGAGAGTAAAATAGTGGAATCTACCAGCTGTACTCTCCAGCCACACACCAGCCCATGGCGGTCAGCAAAGGGCAATAAACCACCCACACCTGTCTCAGACATTTGTCAGGATTACAGGGTGGGCCTGTCAGTGGAGGGGTTAATAAATGTCAAACTTAACGCCCTACTAGAATAGAAATAAACACTCTGCTGTTTCCAAAGGCTGCACTAGGTCCTGCAGACCAAAACAGAAGACAGAAGGAAGGAAAGTAAGTTGAAATGATAAATCATAGACACTATCACACAGCTCAGTCAGAGTAAAGAGAAGCACGTCAACACATTAATGGCCATTTACAGCACGGAAAAAGAAAGATGTAAAAACGGACACAACAGAGGAAAAGAAAAGAAGCAGGACCTTCCAGTGGCGCCCTCCAATCATCTTTTGACATTTCACACCAGTACAGGCGAGAGTATATGTCTTTGGCGCCCTCCAATCATCTTTTGACGTTTCACACCAGTACAGGCGAGAGCACATGTCTTTGGCGCCCTCCAATCATCTTTTGACATTTCACACGAGTACAGGCGAGAGCACATGTCTTTGGCGCCCTCCAATCATCTTTTGACATTTCACACCAGTACAGGCGAGAGCACATGTCTTTGGCGCCCTCCAATCATCTTTTGACATTTCACACCAGTACAGGCGAGAGGACATGTCTTTGGCGCCCTCCAATCATCTTTTGACATTTCACACCAGTACAGGCGAGAGCACATGTCTTTGGCGCCCTCCAATCATCTTTTGACATTTCACACCAGTACAGGCGAGAGTACATGTCTTTGGCGCCCTCCAATCATCTTTTGACATTTCACACCAGTACAGGCGAGAGTACATGTCTTTGGCACCCTCCAATCATCTTTTGACATTTCACACCAGTACAGGCGAGAGTACATGTCTTTGGCGCCCTCCAATCATCTTTTGACATTTCACACCAGTACAGGCGAGAGCACATGTCTTTGGCGCCCTCCAATCATCTTTTGACATTTCACACCAGTACAGGCGAGAGTACATGTCTTTGGCACCCTCCAATCATCTTTTGACATTTCACACCAGTACAGGCGAGAGTACATGTCTTTGGCGCCCTCCAATCATCTTTTGACATTTCACACCAGTACAGGCGAGAGTACATGTCTTTAAGTATCACCCCATCAGATTGAGGGGTTGCACCTAACCTACAATATTCTAGTTCAGTACAAGGCAGCTTCAAGTTTAAATTTAAATCCTACTAGACACGAAACAAGTCATGTTGAACATGTTACACATGATCTACGTCAGAATGGAGCCATAAATTACCAAAAAAATTGCCATGGTAAAATGATAAAATATCCTAAACCAAGCATTGTCATGGCTGTGACTATTTGCTCTCAACAAAAACTTCCCTGCACTGATGATGAGCGCACAAATAAAGAGTAAAACACCAACCTCACTTTAGTCGAATGAGTGCGTAACCTTCCCCCCCTCGCCATTCATTTTGTTCCAAACAGAGTCAAATGGTGCACTCTATTGTGGGTTGGAATTACATCAGAGAGCACAGCCTTGGATATTATGATACAAGTCCATGGGTAAGAATAAAGTACGAGGAAAATCCACTCCCTGCCCTGAATCAAATCTTGTGAGCATAAGGGTAACCAGACAACAGTGGTGCACCCCACTTCCATGCCATAACAAAACAATTTCCTCATACAGTTATGTTAGAAAGCAGCCTACATTCTCCTACGTGTGCCTGGCACAGACAAACCTTTGCTTTTGATGATGTGCGGCAAGGCCAGCTGGGTGAGGAAGAAAATACTTTCCATGTTCGTCTTCATGATGACATTGTAGTCTTCCGGGGCCGCTGTCTGTGCCGACCGCACCACATTGGTTCCTACGTTGTTCACCTGGTATATGTTGTGAACAAAACGACAGTGAGTTTCATTTTTAATGAATGCTTTCAGAAGTTAGAGCGAGTTATGCAAACTATGTTTCTGACCACCCCTGTCTCACTAGTACAGGCTGTCGGAAATGTTCTAAAACGTAAAGCCCATTTCATTAACTCTTTCCAGACGTATCGCCAATATATCGGTTGGAGTCCACACCCCTTGCGGACGTATCGCCGAAATATCGGCTGTGATAGGGTGCCTCAGTATTGTTGCATTTTGACATGATCCGTCATTTATAATTATATCGTTATTGAAAACTTGGAAAGGGTTTAGGAAAAGAAAACATCTTGTTTTACTTTTCGAAGCGTGGGTTGGGGGAAAAACGAGTGAATTTGTTCTTGCAGTCTTGCATTAAAAAAAACGATGTAACAGGACTCAGTATAAATATCATAACTCAAACAAAAATTAGAATATTGCTTTCAAATAAAAAGCTGCGCATTCAAAAATTCATGGATATGCTCTTGGCCCGTATATGATAAGATAGCTATGCTGATTTGTGAACGTAATTTTTCCACAAAATTTATTTTTCTCATCACCATCGCCATTTCTAACCTTGTAATGCATACTTATATTCACAATTAATCCTTGTTTCATGCTGGAATGTATTCCTCATTCCATTTCTTTCAATTTGATGTATAATGTTACATTTTGAAAGATGGTTTTGCTTATATTAAGTTATTTTGTACATCATCTGAGTAGCCAAATCGAGCCACAAGTTAATTACGTCTAGACTCCCAAAAAAGTATGTCCGGAAAGAGTTAACTAGTTTAATTCTTCTTCAAACAACAAGTGAGATCCATATCCACAGGGATAGTCTTTTTGTGTCAGTGTTCTTAGACAGATTACGCATATGTGTGTATTTGAAAGAATTGTTGTACTTTGAACGGGTCAATATGCATAAAATGTTGATTTAAATCTGATAGGCCTACTATTGTGAAGCGCCAAAAGCCACCAGGGAGAGGGCACTATAGAAGAGATCTTTATTATTACCATTCTTATTATCAAATAGCCTATTATACAAGAACAGTGTTGTTGAGTTAAGGTTTACTTTTGGGTGGCCTCATAATGCCCACATTTTGCAGGAATAGATCAGGAAACATCAACGACGCCAAGACAAAGTAGAAAGAGCAAGCCATACGAGTGTGCTTCACTTCCTCTCACGGTGGCAAGATGATACATTTGCTATGATGGAGCACTGAATGTTTTGCCTTTAACACTTTGCCATCACAAGTCACAAGGCTCATATAGTACAAACTCTTGCCACCAAAGGAAAAGGAGTTTTAGTTTTAGTAAGTGTTTTACGGCACTTGCAACACAATAAGGTCGTATGAGTGCCGAAGATTAGAAGTGTTACAAGTGAGTAACAAACACAAAAAAGGAGGAGGGGAGATAAAGACGACAGATGTTTGATAGGAAAGAAGGAGCAAACCACACCAGAGCACCCGCCAACCACCCACTAAAGGAAAAGGAATTTGTGGGAAAATCCCAAAAAAATGGGTGGTAAACATCGCCGATCGGCGAGATGAGGTGGCAAAGTGTTCGACAGACCCCCAAGGCTGAAGATCAGAGACTTTTTCATTAAACAAGGTGTACGTGTTCTGACAGATATATACAACACACAAGATGGTCAGGATTCTTTTCAATGACAACATTATAAATTTAATGGGGAGGAAGGGGGCTGAGAAAACCGGAGGAAAGAATCCATCAACAGCAACAACTACCTGACCATAATCAGAAAACAGAAAACAAAACAAAATTTGTGTTTTTACCACATCTGGCCGATTACTTACATGAAATATTACAAGTTAATGTAAGCGTTTTATTACATGCTACAGCACAGCCAACAATGATATTGCGATGTTCTGAGAGCCTTTCTTAATTAAGATATGCACTTAACTCTTTATCTCCAAGGGGGGTAAACCTACTATGCCGGGGCCCTTTTCTCATGCTAAATCTAAAAATGACAAAAACTTCTTTAAATGGGTTATCAAATCGAAACTAGCAAACCTATTTTGATAGTTCTTCATCTAATGAGTGAACTTCCAGTACATCAAGAGACCTGTTTTCGGCAACTGCATAACCGAAAAGTAATTTGATGTTGAAGTCGTCGTAAAGGAATGTTCCCGAGCCACTGTCAGCAGCTCACAGGCACGGCGGTTCCGACCACAAGCCGCTGGCCGGAGATAAAGAGTTAAAATAACATAAAAAATCATCATCCGTTGTCCTTATGCAAACGGCATACAAAACAAAACATACATTAGTGGGCGGTTGGCGGGTGCTCTGGGGTGGTGGTATGCCCCTTCTTTCCGGTCAAACATCTATCGTCCTTATCTCTCCCTCTTTATTATGTTTGTTACTATCTTGTAACATCTCTAATCTTCCACAGTTATATGACCTAATTGTGTTGCAAGTGCCGTAAAATGCTTACTAATACTAAACATACATTACCAAAACGTCCAGCTGACCAAAACATTTCAGGGTCTCGTCAACAATCTTCTGCTGCACCGACTTCTCAAGAACGTCGCCATCGGTCGTGCGTACCTGGGTGAGACAAGACCATACAGTCATGTAGAGACATAGCAGAGAGAAATGTTGGCGTACTTGATTCTGTTTTTCCTACTTATTCCACAAAGTAGACTTTTAACTACATAAATAAGTTAAATATTTCATTTCTTATCATAAATCTACATAAATCATAAATATTGTACATGAAGTTTGAAAAGGCATAAAGGGAAAAAAAAAAAGATTTATGACAGATTTTTTGTTAGAGTTTCTGAAGAAATCCTGGCTTACTTACTTTTTCTGTCCTCTTGTACTGCAATTAAGGTGTCAAGGAGAGGTATGCAACTTTGGGACAAGGGCCTGACATTTCTGCCTTTTGGAGAGTCAAGTTCCTTTGGAGGGTCTTTTGACTCAATCAACCATCTTTTTCTTGCTCTTTCTCTAGCCTTGAAGACATTGACTGTCATATTGTAGGTTCCATTCTCACAAATCATTTGTTTTGTTTTCTCTCAGTGTATCACACGTATGATTCAACACTCACTAGATATTGTCTGATGTCATTGTTTCTTTGTCCGTCTATACACATGATGTTTAGTGTTTTTCTGAGACAATTCATTTCTCATGTTGTTTTTTTAATTTGCTGTGCTTCATTTAGGGTCAAGGTTTGGCACTGGTATAAGAGTTGGTATAAGGAATTGATCTAATGAGATCTATTTTTGTCTCCCACAGAATATTCTGATGGGAGAAAAGGGTGTTAGATGGCAGGTGACTGCATTCGCCTTGTGTACTTAAGTTTTGATTTCTCATGCTTTGTTCACTTTAGTGATATGTTCTTGGAGGATGTCCTAATCTTGGTGTATGAGGCTCTGGTCATCAGCGAAGCGCAGTTCGTTAATTTTTCGCTCCAAATTGTTTTATTTGTAAAATCAAAAGCCTGATCAGTTACACTATTTTTGTGACAAAATTAAAGCGAACTCATGTGACTAGTTTTTTTAATAAATTAGAATTAGAATTTCGGAAGAACGCCTTCTTTAAATGGTTACGCTGACAAAAAAACCTCTTTATCTCAAAACCGCTGTGAATAAAAAACGGCATTTTGTCAGCTTACGGCAGATATCTATATATATCTCATATTTCACGTACTTTACTCTCACCACCGGAAGTTTCCACACACTTCGCCGCCACAGCGTTGAGTCGCTCTTTGTCTCGGCCACACAGCATCAAGTGACAGCCCTGACGGGCAAACTCCAGAGCAATAGCCTCACCAATGCCAGCACTGGACCCTGCCCAGAGACACACACAGAATGATCAAGTGGCAAACTTAGTTAACCTGCTGTCAATTTCAACTGCAATCTTATTTTTCTTTTAAGTGGGATGGAGGGGACCTAGGCCCACAGGGATAGTGTGTAGGCCCAGGAGAGGACTAATTTGGACAAAGTGATGGCCTTGGCCACCAATACATACATGCACACATATTATATATATATATATATATATATATATATATATATATATATATATATATAAATACCTGCATGTGTTTTACAGTTCCTGTACAGCCAAGAAAAATTTCCCTCTGGGACAATAAAGTATTATCTTATCTATCTTATCTTATGTATAATAATAGATGGATGGATGGATGGATGGATGGATGGATGGATGGATGGATGGATGGATGGATAGATGGATAGATGGATGGATGGATGGATGGATGGATGGATGGATGGATGGATGGATGGATGGATGGATGGATGGATGGATGGATGGATAGATGGATGGATAGATGGATGGACAGACGGACTTACGGACGGACAGACAGACCAACAGGTAGACTGACAGACAGACACACATACACACAGAACACTTTTCACTCATTCTAAAGCTAGGAAAATTGCCTAGAATCGATGTATTAAAGAAGGCCTTGGTGATGTCATTGAAGAGTGTCCATATAAGTCAATTTGAGACCCCCATTCTGAACTCATTTGACCTTCTATCCTGGGTCACCATCCTCTGTGGGTCCATATTTGAACTGCTGTGACCTCACAAAGAGTTTCAAGAATTGGGGAGGGGGGGGGGGGAGAGGAGGTGAACATTTTTTTTTTACAGTTTGCCATTTCAGCGGTAGGCCTACATTTTGATATCCTAATGCATAAGGTACCTATTTTTTATATTTTTTTTAAAGATCTCGCAACTGCATAAAGACAATATAAGCGTGTGGGACACATTAAACATTTTCAGTTCGTAGGAAATTTTGAATTTTGCCCAGGTCATGGCAGCCAAAGCCAAGCTCTAATCAATTTTGGACCACTAAGGGAACTTTAATGATTTAATGTGCGCAACTTGCACATGTGACCTCCGAGATTTTTCGACTTTGTCCGAAAAGGCTAGGAGTGGATTTTTCCTACCATGGCATAAATAAGATCAGGGGTGTGGCTGGGGTCGTGTGTCCTACAGAAAGAACCCAAGGGGGAGTGGGGTCGTTTGTTTATATTATACAGGTGATTGTTTTGGACAGGTGGTCGTTTGAGCAGGTTCGACTGTAATTAATTGTTATTGCTTGGGGTTCAGTGAGAAGGGCTGAGGGCGAGTGTCAGATGCACCGAACTTACCCGTGACAACAACAACTTTGCCAGCAAGCTGCAGAAAATCTTTAGAATTCTGCATGTCGAAAGCCGATTTGGAGTTGGAGGAAAGTGAAAGCAAAATCTGTTTAGATGCTCAAGAACGGCCTGGAAAATAGGATTTGATGCAAGTATATCAGGTAATAAAAACACAACACTGGTTCTGGATCTGAAGGCCGGCCAGCTGGCTGCAGCAACGACTTCCACCTCTAACCCAACCTCTGACCCATGAACTCGGGGCTCCTAACTTGCAGGACTCTTCGGGAGAAGAGTGGTCCCGGCCGAAATCCATAGACATTTATACATTATGTACGCAATTGGAAACAAAACCGGAAGTTGCCTTTAAAAAAGGGGGTGCAAGGGGTAGTCCCCCTGCCTAAGTGAAGAGGAGGGGGGGGGGGGGTTGCAGGAAGGTCTCCCCCCTGCTAAATTCACAAAAATAATGGTTTGTTGCAGGGTTTTTTTGCCAAAATTGTTCTCAGCACCCTAAAAAAAAAACATCAGAATTCAGAATAGTGCCGAAAATAGGTTTGGCAGGCAACTCAGTTCAGTTTATTTACTCGACTTTCGCTCCGCTGTTCACTACTTAGGCTACTGCCAAGGCCTCAGTTTTCGCTGGTTCAATCGAGGTCAAATGACGTCACGAGCACAAAGGTTGCGGGTCATGACCTGCGGTATTGTGAATGTTGACCGCCGCGCTCTCAGACAGAAACTCCAGCAGGCTGAACGAAACTGTATACATTACATTATATTGTGATTCTCTTTCTTCTTTCAAGTGTGTCAAAAGTTAAGCGTTGTTTTAAAAAAGCAAATGGATTTTTTCTTGGTAATGAACTAGGAAACGTTTTCTTTTCTTATCTTAAACACAGCGACAGATGGGTTTTTTTCAACCACGCACTGTGCTTTCACCCAAAGGTCAATTAACCAGGAAGTAAAATAAAATCGTGGGATACTGTTACTTTTGAAAAAAATAACGCAGTTTAGAAGCAAGGGCAATGTGTTGAAGCAGCACACCATTGTCAGTGATATCCTGGGACGTGTCAGAGTGTAGCAAAAGTGTGAAGACCTGTTCTCAGTCGGCAGAAGAGAGGCCAATAGACGTGAATATGTTGTACACTACAGGCACATGCATGACTGTATTTTGAATAGCCTTCTGACTGTGAACCCGGATTCGGATTTGAGAGATAGCATGTGAGTAGACCCTATTTATAATCATTATGATGTAAAACGACTACAATTTTCTTTAATAAGTTTTCTTTTGATTGAGAATAAATAAGATTAGAAAAGATTTGTGGAATCAAAAGAATTCGTGCCTTATACCATTTTTGTCACTGTCCCAGCTTTGTGGCAATTTGTGGTGAGGG